TCATTAGTTTCATCCATTGGGTATGAGTAGCCAGACAATTGCAGTAGCATCATCTTTGATTTTCACTTAGTCATTTTCCTGTTGCCATAGTAGGATATGACAACACTAGCACAAAAATTCAATCACACTATTGCCTGACAATTAGGGTTGCAAGCAGTGGCTGTACAAACATCTTGTTTAACAAATAGTCTTATGTAAACATTTAGTATTTAAGATAAAATACATATTATTCAAGATCATTAACATGCTAATGAGCCAGATTTATTAAAGTAAAAATTTAAAAATAGAATAAAACAATAACTGATGAATAGAGACTCTTCCCTCATGGGTTAAGTTCTTAAGTTTACTTTGAAATTATTGAGGTTAAAAATATAAATGAAAATTTTTTTTTGTTTTACTATGTCAACTTAAAATTGAAAAGTATTAAATTAGGGATGACCCAAAAGAACAATACCTAAAGTTTAAAATGAATTTTTAAAAATGAAAAATCTTTGTTGTATTTCAAAAACTAATTTAAATTGACTGGAAAGAATTTTTTTTCTTTTTTTGGCTAAAATAGCTGATTAGCATTCCTGCCTTATATTTTTTTTTTAGTCATATTTCATTGCATTAAAAAAAAAAAAAAAAAAAAAAAAGTCTTTAAAAATGAAAAATACTTTTCTCAAACTGTATTTGATTAAGCCGATTTAAAAAATATTTACATAATTTTAAAATATCACAAAAATGCATTTCTTAACTGGGCAGCAGCTGCATTTACATTTGACAACATGACAGATCTAGTGTTGTTCTACAGAAACTTTATCTGTAAAACATAACTGAAGAAAATTATGTGAGAGCTTCTTTTTTTTTTTTAGCATAATTTTTAAGTACTCATTAATCTTAAAAATCTAGAAAAATATTTTCCCATAACATGTTTTATTGAATTTTAGAAATGTCAGGTTTAAATTTACTATATAATGTTGTGTATGGTTGCTTGTACTTACAAAAAGATGGGCACATTTATACATGTACAAAAAAAAAAAAAAAATCAATTTTTAAAATATTGATGTTTGATTTTATTAAGCTTTTTCATTTATGATTAGTAAATAGTTTTCACTTAATATCTAAATGGCTGATATAGAATTTTAAAATATTTAAAACTTAATAATTTTTCTAATTAAAATTTTTAAAAAAGGAAAAAATTCTTGAAAGAAAAAAAAATTATTCATTAAAAAAAATGTTTTTTCTTAAGCCAATAGTATCCTTAAGATATTTTATTTATAAAGGTAATTAAATGCTTTTCTAATAAAATGTTAGTTTTATTGCATTTTTATTTTCCTGTTAGATAAAAACAAATTTAAATTAATTTGTTTAACTAATATAAAGATGAAGAGGCTGAAATTTTAATTTCTCAAAATTTCATAAAATTAAGTGGGAGTAACATGCAAAAAATTTTTTTAAAAATAATTCATTTGTGAATAATAAGTCACAAAAATTTCATTAAAATATGACAATTATTTGATATTTGCAAAAATTTCCAAAATAATGTTTTTTTACCACAAAAATCTTGACTATTTAAATATGTACTAAATTATATAATTTACTACATATCTAAATATTCAAGATTTTTGTGGTAAAAAAACATTAGTTTAGAAAGAGATATTATTTGAATATCTTCTATTCTTAAATGATATTGGAGTTACAGAAAAAAAAAGTTTAAAAGATATTACATCTTTTAAACTTTTTTTTTCTGTAACTCCAATATAAAGTTTTCTTTTGTATTATTTGTTAATATAGCTTTATAAATTACACTGCTAGACATTTATTATCCAGAAGATATTTTGCTTTATTTCTACATTTGCATTTTTTTTTTTATTTATGTTGGTGTCATACATTGGCAATCAATGGAAATTCTATTCTTGAGGTATAGTGTCAACAACTCCTCACAACTCAAGAACTTTTCAGAGATTCCTCACAAAATAAATCAGGGCAGTTTTTTGGAGTTCTACAATCTTGGTCTCAATTCCAAATTTTCATAGGTGGTTTTTCAGATTTCTAGGTGGGGTTCTAAGTGCATATCAGTTAGAAAACTGAAAAGCAATTACCATAATGTGCATTCTCGCGTATCATGTGACCTTCAAATTTTCACTTATGAAAAGATTTTATGTATCCTGCAAGTTCTTTTTTTGAGAATGATAAAAAGTATCATTAGTAATGCAATACTCATTGCATAAACACGTACAGCCATAAATAACTGAACAGCTAAACATCTTACCCATGTAAACAGTGGAAAAAAATGCATATTCACTATGTTTGTATTTTATATGATACTAATATGTGAATATTACATGCGTTATTATTGGATACAGTTAAAACATCAGTTTTATCAAAGTCATATTTATTTTAAATACAGCCTTACTTTTTGACTAAAGTAAATGAATATATAGTTTGGTCAACAGCTATCTAGGACTAGCAGTACATATGCCTATTTTATATCTCCTGTAAAATTAACTTCAAAAGTCACATAGTACATGAGTATATACTGTACTATTATTATTACTTACATTGTTGCCTATTAGTGAGTTTCGTTATATTTATTTATTATTTTTTTGATATTTTCCATGCAAACATAACTTAATATTTCTGTTGATAATTTACTGTGTGTGTGTGTGTGTGTGTGTGTGTGTGTGTGTGTGTATATATATATATATATAAACTTTTATATACAAGACATTTTATGAATTTTCTAATACAACATATATTTGTAACAACTACATGTTTACAGGTCTGTTATTGTTGATTTAGAGTAAATTTTATATAATAAGGGGGGGGGTATATATAGCAGACTTTCTTTCCTTCACTTTCCCTTTTATATTATTCTTTCATTTCTCCTTTCTTCACTACAAAGTTTTGAGAACTAAATTAATGGATTTATTTTTTAATCACGCATTTCTATTACTTCAAATGTTATAATGGAAACGAGAATTTGAAAGAGCCAACCCATTTTTGTTTCGACATAATCTCAATGTTTAAAAAAAAAAAAAAAGAAAAAAAAAAAGGCATCTATTTGAAGCACAAGTACTCACTATGATAATGTTTGAAGTAATATATATCTCCAAATAAGTCTCATTAAAAACAACTGACAATGTCTGTGTTTAATTTTTTTTATTATTCTTTCCAAACTTTTAGATTAGATAAGGATGTTCAGTATTACATTCAAACATATATATATATATATATATATATATATTTGGTATCTTTGATAGGAGTTTGGATATGCTCAGTGTAACATAAATAGTTATCAATACAACTAGTTGAAGCACAAAGATTCACTTCTAACTTTAATATCTAAGATTATATCTCTAAAAGAAGGTACCTCGAAACGTTTAATAAAAAATGAGCATACATGATGAAAAAAAATAACCCAAACTTGATAAAAAACAAAGTTTTATCATCAAAAGGAAATACCAAAGAAATTTTTGATTATTAAATTATATTGTTTAATCCTTTTCAGAAATTATTTTTCTTGTATCTGATAAACTTGTACGAGAAATTTGAACATGTTTTTGCAGTAAAATACACTGACCTGGGAAGTCTTACAAAAATCTGCTAATTGTTAGAATTTAATGACACTTATTCAAAAATGAATGAAATTTTTGAATTTTTTTTTTTTTTTATTTATTTTATAAAAAAGTTTGGTAAAAATATTTTTAACATCTGTTACCCCCATTTATTTTATTTTGAGAAATAAGATATTACAGAAAAAAGAAAAGACATATATAAAAGACATTAAAGATAAAGAAAAAGAAAAGACATTTTTTATGATAATGAATTTTTACAAGAATTGTTTTCATTTTTTAAATTTTAATTATAATAATTTACAAAGTTGTAAATATTTTAAAATTCTGTATTAATTTAGTGGTTAGGTGATATTGTGAAGTAAAAACTATTCACTAATATATAAATTGAAAACCTTATAAATTCAGCATCACCCAGTATTTTAAGAATTTTGAAATTGTGTCTATAAACATGCTGATTTTTCTAAATAGACATCCATACACTAGTAAATAATAGAGAGTAACTATAGTAAATTTAAAATTTATTGGTAATTTTCTCACATATTCTCAACAAGCAGCTTCATAAGACTATAAAGGCAAAGTATGTAGAATTCAATAAACTGTTAGATTATTTAAAATATTTTCCTAAATTTCTAAAATTATTGGATAGTTAAAAAAATTATAAAAAATGTGTTCACATATTTGTCAAGTAATTTTCACAGTTATGTACCCTTTACTTGCATTTGCCAAGCATTAAGCTATCAATAAATTTGTCAACAACTCATAAAAACCCCCACCTTCATGTAAAATAAAAAAAAAATAAAAAAATAAAAAAAAAACTAGAATAAAAGCTTCAAGAAAGATCTAACTTTTAAAATGCATTTTAAACCTTTGGTATTGCTTCTTTTTCTTTTTTCAGGTGGGGAGGTACCTACCTAACAGTAGGGTAAGATCAGGTTTGTTCCTCTCAATCTATACCCAGTGCTCTCCCCCGCTTCAGATTTTATCCTATTAATGGCCTCCTTATGATGGTAACTTTATACACCCAAATTTTATGTAAATTAGAATACATGCTAATATACAACAATCATTCTTAAATCTTTCACAATGGCCATTAGATACACAAAAAAAAAAAAAAAAAAAATACATTTAATGTAATCCATTTTGGTGCACACAATATCTATTTGAAAAAAGTAAAATATAAATTCATTCAAACTAAAGATACAATATCAATTTCTAGACAAGATGCATTATTGACCCCAAAAGACAAAACAATACCTATCCTAAACAAAAAGCAATACCCTTCATCCAAAATAATCCTTGGGAAAGCGCACTGTAAGTTTAGCACTGCTTGAATCCGGAAGACATTCCTCCTCGTCTCAATTAAGAAAGAAATATGCAAAGTAAGTAATATGTAAAGTTCAATAATTTAACATACAGATACAAATATATTTATATACATACCTGTTATGTGATTGATGTAATAAACACCAACGTTTGCATCAAAAGATTGCTCCCAGCCATATGGTAGCTCATTCCCAACACAGTCAGCGAAGGTTTGGGGTTTAGTCTCCCTAGGAAAAACAATGATATTATTTACTTTATTTTTTTTCACTTAAAATTTTATACTGATGATAAACAGGTTTCTTTATTTTTTGCAGTCATAATGCAAACAACATTTGGCAATGTTTAACCTTTGTGATAGCAGGAAAAAAAAAAAAAAAAAAAAAAAAAGTGTCAAAAGAACAGTTATTCTCTTGACACTGCTATTACTGTATAACTTAACTCTCTCTCCCCTGGCAATGTTTATTTTGCAAAATTATAAGAATATGTGAACCAGGTATGCAGTATTTATTTTGAAAAGTTTTAAAATCATTGCTAATTTTTTGGGGGGGTAGCAATCTAATAAATAGTGTTTAATATTTTTGTTGTCAATTCTTTAGCATAAACAATATAAATTCATTTTTGATATGTTTGGGTTTTATTAAAATTCTAATCACTTTTTAAAACAAATAATGCCAAGGTAGTCAAAAGTATATACACTAATAGCTGATAAAGAATAACTTCCCATTTGACACTATTTTTTTGCAGGCATGAAAGTATAACATTCAAATACAATCCACAGCCATTATACAAAGAACATTCAAATACAATCTTAAAAGGAAAACAACCTTGAAAATTGCAATATGCAACTAGTAGATATGTTAAAAAATAATATATCTAAAGAATTAATGGATGTTATTTTTAATCTGACATTTTCATTACTTAAAACATTTGGGTACCCATATTTGAGTAAGCACCATTTATTTTAAAAAGTGTTTATTTTGTGTACCAGCCCGTGTACTTGAGAAAAGAGGGAAACTGATTTGAATCCTGCTGGAGGGCACATTTCCTTTAATAAGCTTTCAAGTACACAGGCCAGTAGATGAAATAAACATCATTTAAAATAAATAGAACATTTACTCAAATATGAGTACCCACTAAAAATAATGTGAATACACACGAGTAGATGCACCATTTTTTTTTTTTTGCTAAAGACTATATCTATTTATGTTCATTTACCTGCTAGAGACAGCGTATTTATTTTTAATGAGATTTCTAAAATATTCAGACTGGTAAATGAAAATATACTGTTTAACAAATAAATGGAGCATCTACTCAAATATGAGTATCCACTAAAATAACATTTAAATTGATAAAAATCTGTCAGATTGATTGAATAAAAATCCATTACCTACCTATAAAAAAAAAAAAAAAAAAAAAAAAAAAAAAATTATATACATCACACACACACCACTTTAAAACAAGGGATTTTAATGAAAAGCCTCATTTTCAAGTTTACATCGATTTTCCATTTCAATGAAAACAGTTAAAATATAAGAATATTATTGGTTTCTTTCTTTCCCTAAAATCAAACAGCATCTTTGATATATTTCCTTCAATGTATCTTAATAATCAAATAGGAATGGGCCATTGTTTACTTGAGGCAGGGGTAAAGTGTAATGTACATGCTAATTAACTCAGGAGCAAGCAGAACTATACTATGAAACTTCATTATAATATAAACTTGTAAAGCAATAAAAATAAAATGTAAGCACATTGGAATGCTTTTATAGAATATTGCCAAAATTTATGTTTAGTATGCCAGTCTCACAAATTTAGTCTAATAATCCTTACTCTTGTCATAAAGATAGAAGCTATACATTAAAACTATTAACATCAAGATGGGGCAAGTGATTTTCAACACTTGAATTGGTTATTTTGAATATGTCATCTTCCATATTTTATTATTCTCAAGTAATGTTAAGAAGCCCCGATCTAGTGGATCAATGTAAATAATGATAATACCTCATCTCAGAAATTCAAATAGAAATTAAGTTAAATTATACAAGTTTATATACTTGTGTTAGACCATAGTAATACAGTTAAACTTTGTCATAAAATAAAAAGGAAAAGAGAAACTTTAATAGCAAAATGAAAGTAAAATGTTTGTTTTAAATATTTTTAAAAATATATATTTAAATATTTGCTATCTGATTTATTTGAAAGAAAAAACAAAAAACATGACAAATATAGCCTAAGAAATCAAAATAAAAATGTAATAATTTATGAAAAAAAAAAAAAGTAAACAGCTGTGTTTCATTGCCTCGCATTTTAAAAATTTGATAAGTCAATGATTACCACTTATAACTGGTACTAACTGAGAACAGTGATAAGTGGTTGTCAATTTAATATTAAGTAATTAATAAAATTAAAAACTTATAACCTTATGTCACACTTGAGTTTGCTACTAGAATGAGAAGTCTGGGAGACTAGTTTGAATTCCAGTTAGATTCATTACATTTACTTACTCACAAATACCTTTGGGGAAGTTATGAATTCATATCTTCTCCCTATGGAGGGAATAGCAGGACAGATTGGGTCCTATAGCCTTGTTTGCTAACCAGTCTATTGCAAAAACAAACATGAACCTACTATAACAAAATCTTCTGCCTTGTCATGAATTAAGAGACATGACCACGCAAGCATGTATCATGTATAGTACTTAACTGACTGACCATGGTATGATACTTTAAAGTAGTTTAACAGACTTGCTATATAATGTGTTCAATTCTCACTAGATACTCATATATGTAATATCCACCAAGAAATATTTTTATTTCATGAATTTTTCAATTATTAAAATTTCATTTTTCTAAAATTGTGATATGGTCAGTAAACCTCAAATATAATACCTGTAAATTAAAAACCTTTAAATCTAAAGATCTACACTAATTTAACGTGAATTGTTTGAAATCTGTGTGAAAAATTTTGAAATCTTAAGAGTTCTCTAGTATTTCTCATTACTATAAACATTATTTTTAGCAGGTATATGTTTGAACTGACATCCTTGTTTTTTGCTAATTTTCTTAAAAAAAGAAAAGTTATGTTAATCATCCTAAATCAAGTGCATGCCTTTAACCAATTAAGCCATAAGAGACCGTCATGGTAAGGTAAGGCACAATTAAGGAATGCACACCTCTTTTTGAAACATTTTTAAATCTGTATCTGCTAGCTTTATTTTCTTACCAAAAAAGTAATTTTTAAATGAATTCTTCCAGTGACAAAAATATAACCTGTTTATAATAGAAGTATAGTTAAAGAAACTTTAAAAATTGCAATTGGATTTGTAAAAAGAATAAAATTTTAGAAGTTTTGCATGTTAAAAATTAGATTTATTTAATGGTTTCATTTATGGCAAAGAAATAAGATAAAATTGTTATCTTTAATGCTAATTTAGTTTATATTGAACAAAGAAAATACAATTATAAGAACAATGGAAACTATGAAAAAGTTTGTTAGACATTTTTCTACTAGATTTTAATATATATTTCTATAAGCATTAGTACTGGAGTGGCTAGTCTTTCACATTTCTTGTATCAATTTTCATTCAGGATTTCAGTTGCATATATATGTTCCTATTAATTTAGTTCAAACAGTTTAATATAATATCAAATATTTCAATGAAATAGTTCTATAAGTGAAAACTTATAGAACTATAAGAAATTCTGCATCTAAATTTTTTTTTTACTGTTATTAATTTAAGTGTTGACTTACTTCAATTAATTTCTTCAAATTAAAAAAAAATCTATTTAATGAGGAAAATAAAATTGTTATGCACTAGTGGGGCAAAGGTTGGGAAATGAATGAATATTCATGAACAGATTACTGATGGTTATTGATGAAATATAACCATACCCAAAAGGTCTGCAACTTAAGGGAAAAGTTCTTGACAATGCACTTAAACCTTATATAGCAAAATTTTTTCAAAATTCAGATTAGTACACAATTCCTTAACTTGAAGAGTATATACAATAAACTTTTCATAAATGATTTTTCTTATGAGCTTCAGAACATTAGATTTAAGCTAGGAAAATGTACATAAAGGGGATTTTTTTTTTTAAGTGAGAAACATTAAGAAAAAACAATAGTATAATAGTTCAATATTTAAGTCTATTAGAATAAGTAGATGGCAATATCAAATATGAATGACATTTTCATTTCTCAACAAAGAATAAGTTAAACAAAAACTATTTGGAGTCGCCATTTTAAGCGAGAGAAATAGAGTTATCTCCCTTGCACAAGCCCGATTTAAAACAGACATTACAAAAAGTACAAGGGAGATAACCCAGACCTATAAAAATGCAGACTAAATATATACAAATAACAATTGAAAGTGTACAAATTAAAATCCCATTATTACAACCTTCCATAAATTCAGAGGTAATTGCTACACGTGCACATACTTTATAAATTGAATATTTTCATTTCTTTTATTAAAAAAGATTCTTGAAGTTTGAATATTTTTCTTTTTCAAGCAGTATATAACATAAATGTTATAAAATCACTACAAAAATAGCCATTTTGTTTCAACACTTCCAGTGTCTTATCAAGTGATGATGTTGAATGTAATATATATATATATATATATATATATATATATATATATATATATATATATATATATATATATATATTTTACATGACCGATATATTTTAATGACATTTAGATAGCTTGAAGTAAACTTATTGTAAATTCTTTAAAGCTAGAATAGTATCTTGTTTGCCAATATACTTTAAGAAATACAAGTACTTTACTATGTATTGCAAACCAAATTAGTACATATTCAACACAACTATAGAAAGAAAAGAACAATTTTTTTTTTATAACCAGCATTATAGCACTAAAACAAAATACATGCTTCATATTGATATCATTTCAATTTATGAAACTATTTAGAAGTTATAGCATCTAGAAAATTAACATTTTTTTTTATTTCCTTTCAATAAAAGCTTGAGGGTCATTAGCCTGCAGCCTATACTAACTTAAAGGATAATCCAGCCCTATTTGTATGCAACAGTTGTAATTACAGCATGTGTACATGAAATCATTTTGTGTGTGGCAATAAGTTTCAACAGTGGTCTTGCAAGTATAAATTTGGCATATTTTGTAATATTTCCCAAATGATATGAGATATCTAATCTGAAAATAGAAAGGATTTCAGAAGTCATCTGAATTTATCCTAACTCCAAGTATTTGTCAAGTTATGATTGCAAATCATTTATTTTTAAATGATCATTTCTGGATAGTTGCTTTTTCTGCTAGGAAAGTAATTGAAATCTTGTTGAAATGAATGTTATAAGTAACAGATAGGTTTAACTTAACTCTTTTTTTAAAAAAAATGACCTATATCATTAGGTTTTGAGGGCCTACAATACAAAATCCAGTAAAATTAACAATTTGTTTGCTTTCTTTTGTCTAAGAGACACATAATTTCAAAAAAATACTAACAAAAAAATGCCAGAGACAAAATTATTTCTCTTTATAGCATAAATCCCTAAACAGTGAAACAATTTAAGTCTGAAATTTAAGAAAATTGTTAAAATATTTAAAACATACCAGCTCCTTTTACATGTTAAACTAATAATCGCTTTTGATACGATATGCCTAGCACCAAATATCAATTTTCAACATAACTTTCCTTGTATTTATCAGAAAATCATTATCTAAACCTCTATTCTTATACTGTTTAAAGTGCTTAATCTATTTTTGGTACTTATAAGCCCACAAAGCAGTTTAAACAGTCAAGTGCAAAATTTAATCTCCTTTCAAGAATTTTACATCTTCACTGTAAACCAAGGTTTCTAGACCTAACCATTATTTTTTCAATTGGAAATAATAGTTTTAATTTTCCTCTGAAGTACAAATTACATAATTGAATTGTAAATCATTCAAGAGGCTCAAAAAACAAAAAATGTCCCCCAAAATTTGTGAATATATACTATTCTGCAATATATATATATATATATATATATATATATATATATATATATATATATATATATATATATAAATAAAAAAGAGTGTGGAATAGAGACACACACAGAGTGAAAAAATTCACAGACTAAACCACATCTCAAAATTTAAAACAAATGATCAAACACCCAGAACTTTTCAGCTCTAATATATGTGTGTGTGTGTGCGTGCACACACACACACACACAAATTGACTACCAATACATGCACACATGCCTAGCAAGCTATTTTGTTACAATGATACTTCCTGTTTGAAAGCTTCAGGACAGCCTTCAATTCTTATCCCATGTTATTGGTTTAAAAAGATTAAGTTTTGTTTATTAAACTCATATCATCCACAGATAACCCTACAAGTCAAACTGGTAAAGTAAAAGGGTCATGTGTAAAAGGAGTTCATATCCTGTGTGACATTCCCAATTATTTTTCTTTTTACACTGAACTTATTCACACTGTCAAATTGTTGTGAGGATAACAGTGATGACTGAATGCATGTCAAGAGTTCAATGTTCTTCAGTCACAATAGTACTGTAGCTACCCATCCCCTTTACTGCTGTCTACCATAACCTCCTGAAAGAAAGAAAACATGCCCCCCCCCACCACCATAGCACCTGTCTGGAATATAAATTTCATTCTTCATAGGAAAATACATGAAAAAAAAGTGTGATGCTCATGTTCAAAGCTATTGGTAATGTTAATTCCTCATTAATCGATGATTTACTAATCAGAACTTTAGTCATGGCAAAAAAAAAAAAAAAAAAAAAAAGAAATCTAAACATCCAAATTATTTCCCTAAAGAATTTAAGATCTATTTTAAATAACACTGTCAAGACAAAAAGAATTTTTATTCTTTTATCATGACAGAAATATTTGTCTTCATAAGCAAAGCAAGGCTCTAATTTTGTTATATTAAAATATCTTATATGAACAAGTACAGAGTTTATAACAGAGTAAAACTTGTATTAATGTCTGACAGATTTAATCATTTAAAAAATTTGCAGACCCCTCTCCTTTAACTTTCAATATTTTTTCATTGGAAGCTTCTTTTAGGCAGAAACACCAATACAAAAAAAAAATTATTGTAAATTAGACATTTATGAGTTCAACATTTAATTTGTTTCACCTTGGTATTAATCAAATAGTACTTACTAACAAACAGAACTAAGTAATTGTTTTACTATCATTATAACCCACTACAATAAAATTCTTGACCTCTTATCCAAAGTAAACTAGTATCACACACGCAGTAACTACTTTTTGTTTTGAGTACTCCACTCTTAGCTCTTTCTCAAGTATACTATCCTTATTTTGTCAAGGTAGTATCCACCATTTCTTTTTGTAAAGATTGTACATGTAAGGCAGACCATAAAATGGATTGGCCAAAATATACAACATAATAAAGTACAGAACAATAATTGTGGGTTACCCAGTAAGAGTCAAACTCATTAAACAGCAATAGACTAGCTTGCTAATCATAATGTGAATGATAATTATTGCAAAATTACAGAATGAAAATTAGTAAGCTAATCTGAGAAACCATGTGTTCAATTCTTACCAAGAGAGCCACTACTTGGTACTTTTAATAGACAAAGCTTGAAGCCTGCTTCATAATTAAAAGACATATTTTACTCTGGTGCTAGATAAAGGTCATTGTTCAAGCCAAAGTAAGAACAATTTTTCAAATGCAGATTTCTCAAAACCGGAAACACTACCTTCCAACTCTATGTTTCCCAAACCTGGCTTTCATAAGCTTAGCTTAGTATTAATAGAGAAATGCTTATTCAAATATACAACCGATATAAACCAGCAACAGTTATGCCCCTACAGGAGATAGTTCAAACATTCAAGACTTTCAAAATGTAATTAGCATCTGAAAAGAAAAACGCTTTTATGCTATAGTTGCCTCCCTTCCAGTATTGGCATCTGTTCTTTCTCCATAAAAGAAAAAAAAAAGAAAGGTCAGAGTAAGAATTTCCTTCCAAACCAGAGTTATTGGTTTAAATAAAATTTATCAATTTCAAGATTAAAAAAATTAAAAAAATTCTCCTAGAAATAACTTGCCAATGCAATTCTATGAGAATTTTTTTAATAAGCTCTAAGCTGGAAATAACAGCTAAAATACAATCCAATTTGAAAATAAGTAGAAATAATAAAATTAACTTTTGAGAGAATTATGAAGAAATTATTTTATGGGAAATAAAGGTTTAAAGTCTAATGTTCAGTTTATTTTACTATATACCTATATTTTTCAGATTTAAAAAAAACAAAACAAAACAAAACGCATTATACCTCAAGGAATGTCCAGATAGCAGAGACACAAAACCAGATTTTATTCAACTTGTTGACTCCCTGGCCCATGTGAGACAAAGATAATAAAATCAATAAATGTATTAATGGGGATTTTAATGTTACCTAAAGCATTTTTAATGTCAATGCTCCTTTGATGGTAAGAAGACATCACCCCTTTGAAACAGAAGCCTCAGATAGCAATGGAGAACTCTTGCTAAATTTTTATTACTCAAAAACATACCCCATCCTTAAGACATGATTTGATCATCCCATGAAACAGTGTATCATATGGCATAGCCCAGGTAATGCAATGAAAAAGATTGACTTCAGCATTTCATACTCTTCAATTAGTCAGTTTGTGACAGATTTTAGAGTATACAACTCCTACTTTCAATCAGATCAGATTATTTAAAACTAAATTAACATTAGCCAAACAAAATAGCTTGCTTCCACCCACATAAACCAAGAAAAACACCAAAGTATAACATCCAAACTTAAAAATTAAAGGATACATTTAGAATTCAGTAATAAACTAGAGTTTAAATTGATGTCAGTAAATCTAGATCAAAACAGAGGAATCAAATGTTATATCATTGTTAGCTGAAGTACATGAGACCAACCCAAGAGAAAAAGGAAAAAATATACCCATGGGATGACAAACTTTAGTTGAAAAAAATTGATACAAGAAAGAAACAAACAGAAGAGAAAAAAATGGGAGGGAAAATACTCAATTAACAAAGGTTAAAACCAAGTTAATTCTTAGAGAAACCAGTATCTCCAGAAAATTGGAAGTAAAATTAATGAAGCCAAGCAGCATAGACAACATGTTAAAATATGGAGAAAAGCAAAAAAACCCAGAATAACATCATACAATCAAAATCTCCACAGAAGAAAATATCCCGCTCTTTAAAGAAAAAAAAAAAAAAAAAAAAAACACTTGAATCACATTTTAACATACAAAATCTAAGATGCCCATAGAAATAAAACACATATCAATATTCATCTACTCATTATAAAGTCTGTCCCCAAACAAACAATAATATACCTACTGATGAGGAAGTTAAGAAAGCTATTAAAAAAAAGTGTGGTTTAGAAACAGAGAGATAGCCCTCAAGAATCTCATATATACAGATGCATCTCAGTTGAATCCATGTTGAAAGTATTAATGAACATTATATGCTCTCATTGTTTTATGAAAGTCAACTCCTCACAACCCAATTATGTTTTCGTTCTGGTAAAGGATGCAATGATGCCATATACACCATCAAACAACTCCAAGCAATTGCTTAACTTTCTAATAGGAATCTGTATAATTGCTTTGATGGCCTCATAACAGCATATGACCACATCAATAGAAACTTTCCTTTCTCATTCATTAGAAACTGCTTTCCAAGCTCCAAATCCACTGAATGAATTGATATAAAAGGAACTGTATCAATCTACAGAATCTTACATGTCGGGCAAGGATTCCAATATGGAAACATTTCAAACTTCATCAGAAGAAATGAGAGCCCCAGTGTATTTAATTTCTTCCTAGACTATACCCTGCATATTCAAAGACACAGATGAGATTGGTACTGAGCATTTAAGCATTACATACTGCATCCCAAATAAGTCTACCAATAGAATAAAAACAATCCTGTTTTTTTCCCTCGTGAGGCCAAAATTATTGATGATGTGGTGATGATGCTGATGACATGGGTATTTCTAGTTGGGATAAGAATAGTTTTAAGTGAAAATTGACCTCTTGTATCAAGTGTTAAAAAAAGGTGGGGTTTCAAGATAAACCTTTCTAAAACAGAATCTTATCTGGAATTGGAATGAAAGCAATGATGACACCTACACTGAATCCATCATAAAAATTCAGAATGTGGAATTAATAAATATTAAACACTTCAGATACCTTGGTGGCATATAAATCAATTATAATAAATTAGATATAGAAGAAAAAGAATATAAAAAAGGGATGTGCCAGATGTAGTTTTGCCCAACAACACAAACTGCTACAAAACCAAAACATTAACCTAAAAACTAGAGTCACGTTCTTAAATAGCCTAGTCAGATCAAGACTTTCATATGGATGACATGCATGATGGCAAACTTGTTCAGGAACATCTAAACTATGGCTGCTCAGTCAATGAATGTTAAATATTTCTTTATAGGGAAACGGCTATTATCATCATTACCATTTTAGTACAATGAGCTAGTATTGCTTGAAAGATATTTAAGTATCATGCTCCTGTGTATGTGTGATATTTTTCCTAGGATTCCTAGTAATGAATGAGAATGAACAGCTAATACAACTGATATTTGCATGGAAAAATGGAGCTTGTAAGAAAAGTTCAAATTCCAAGGTAGTCTGTTGGCTCACTTTCACACAAATGCTGTTGGGGAAAGGTATGAACAAGTCTGCCTCAAGCTTGGATTAAATAGCTGTATAGTCTGAGCTCTCTAGCCATGAGTAGCAACTAGTCTTTAAGAGAAGGAAAACTGAATTCCAAACCATAGAGAAGGTAACTACATTTTTTTCTGCAAGAATGCATGGTAATTCACAGATAAAGAAAAATCTGTGGAGAGACCTGATTTACAATGTCCTGAAGTAACATGATATCAAAAATAAATAAAAAAAAACATTAATTAATTATTAAGCAATAAATGCCTGAGAAAGAAATGAATCCTCATCTTGCAGTCATTGCTTAATACCTTTACTAAAATGTTACAATGGTTAACAGATCAAATTAAATGAGTACTTCCCTGTTCATTTTTTTTTGATGTTTCTTAACTTGGGTGTTCAGACAAAAAACAGTGTCTCAACATGTTATGGCTTACAGCCATATTATGCTGAAATATAAATCCAATTTAAATTTAAATAATTAAAACTTTTCTTTAAAACTAGATGCACATATATAGGTTTGATTGAATTGTAATCCTCCATTATGGTTATTAGCTAAAACATTTACATTTTGATTGGAATATAACAGAACTTTTTAAGCAAGGCAATAAAGCCACTAAGACAAGGGGTAACAGAGTAAGAAAATGAGAAATAAAAACATTAAGGAGAGAACAATAAAAGAACAGGAATTAAGAAAAGATAACAATTGACATTGCATTTATATTTTTGAAGATCAAATTTGACTGGAAAGCAAGAAGCTCAAAGAGTTCCGTAAGTGAGAATTGCAACAGAAGAAACTGTTAGCATAGAACTTATGGTTATTTTAGTTGCAAAATGATGAGGCTTTGCCACCATTCTAGTACTGTGCTTATATTCATAATGACAGTAAAATATTGGCTAATAACTG